GCAGCAGGGACGGGGTATTGGGGCGCAAGCCCATCCCTCCTTACCCTCCCACATCCCTTGGCGTTAGGGTGCCGGTCCACCCCTCTGGGCTCTCCCACACCTCGTCTTCGGGCCAGCGGTGCAATGGAGGGGCCAGCGGGTCGTCCCCAACACTGTTCCCTGTTGGTCCCAGTTTTGCCACTCATACCCAAATCTGGCATTTCTCGCACCGTCACTGAGCAATCTCGGCCTCGTACAGCGTTGCTGATGTGCCCGGTGCACCCTCCCTGAAGGGCGCTCACCCCCCGGCCGTGTGTGCCCCCCGCGCCTGCGCTCCCCTTCCCGCTGGGTCCCCCCTCGCTGGCCCCGCGCGTCCTCGGGTAGCCCTGTCTCCTCCATGGGTGCTGGGGCCGCGGCTCCTGCGGGGCCTCTGGCTCGTGGCCCCGTTGGGGCGGCCTCCGAGGACATTCGGGTCTCTCTGCGTGACCACTGAGGTCCCTGCCCTCCCTTCTGGCTGCGTCTGCTGCAGCTTGCAGGATACCCGGGCACGTGTAACCCTCCCATCCGGTCCTGCAGCACTGCTCCTGGGGCACCCGGTGCTGCATGTGCAGGGCGACGGAGGTCTGGTCTCCTCGCAGCGCTAGGGACACAGCCGCAGGGTGTGGTATCGGGGTAACACAGCCGCAGGGTTTGGGGACTGCCCCATAAACCCATCACGCCAGGGCTGTACAATCGGCAGTTCCCTCGCGGTCCCCGGTTAAAAGGTTTTTATTCTCTCGTGCTCGGTAGGCTGTCGGCTTTCCCGTCTCAGCTTCTCCCTGGGTGCTGCAGGGATGCCGGGATGTTTCATCCCGGCCGGCCGGGTCCCCGGCTGAGGCTGTTGGTGCTCTCCTTCCCACGGGTGCCTGGTGGCCGGGCACCGTGGCTGTGCCCTGCCTCGGCCTTCGCCCGGCTGCTTCAGAGCAGTGCAAGGCTCAGCTCCCTCTGTTCCTGCGCCTCTGTAACGTAGCACAAACCCACCAAGCCGCCAGCAAAGACCTGTTTGTTTCCGAGAGGGAGGTCGGTGCCATCCGTCTGTTAACGCTTCGGTACGAGATGCTGCTGCTGCAGTCCCGTAGGAGAGGAGTAAACGCTTGGGAAAAGCGTCTAACCCCCGACGCCCTGTTCCACGTGCCAGCAGCTCTACTTGGGTGCGATAAATAGCCAGAGGCTTCGTTCAGTTTCATCTCTTACAGGAGTTTTCTGTTAGTTCGGGGGTTGCTTTCGCCCGTGCTGCCCCACGTCCCGTAACGTTCTCCCAGAAGACGACCGAGGGCGCAGCTCCAGGCCATCCCTCCCCCAGATCCCGTGATTTCCACTGCCCGGCGCCTGCCAAGGGATTCCTGCTTCTCCCTTTGCTCCGAGGCCGAGGTGCGGTTACGCGTTTGCCAACAGAAGGTGCCGGTTCCTACCCGTGCCGCACTCTGCGTCGCTCGTATGCAGCCCCGCAGCTGCGGCTGCACCGGGTTCCTGCCCCGTCCGGCGCCATCAGTTCCGGCACTGTGGGCTAAACCCCGCTGGGGCCGCGGCACGCGGCGATGCAGCCTCTCAGTGCCAGGGCTGCAAAGGTGCGCCGGGAGCCGTGGGCCACTAAAGCCCCGTTACTGCAGGGCTCGTTTCTGGGCGTAGCTGAGGCATCGCTCGGTAAATCCGTCGGGTTGCGGCCGTGCGTCCCCAGCGCCGCAGACAGATCTGCACTGTGTTAGTCCTGACCACAGTAACTCTTAGGCGTTAATATCCGTAGGGTGGAAGGGATTACGTGTTCCTCTTTGCTACTTAGGAAGGCAAACCCAGCGCATTCTGGTGGGCGCAGCCAGCAGCGCTGCGTGCCCGGGCCCGTCGCCCTCCCCCGGTGGCTCTGATCGCCTCGGGAGCGTTTTGTTCCCCGTTCTCTGGTCTTTGGTGGCTGGGGTCTTGGCCAGCTGCGCCTCATAGCAAACATACAGCTCAGGTCATGTCAGCAGTTGTTGTATTTGCAGATGCTCCATTATCTCGTCCTTCTTGCTTTCCCTTCAGAGGAAAGGTTTCTACAGTTGTGAATGTCTATTTTAGTATTAATTTTTTTTTTTTTTTTTTTTTTTTT